ATTTAGCAAGTACAATATAAAATTTAACAAGTACAGTATAACTAATTTCCTATGAACTTAAACCAATATAACAGGCATTCTGCCAAGTACTTTGAAGTGAGTATTAGTTATCATATTATATGTAAGTGACTCAAGGAAGAGTTTTAATTTGTAAGAACATATTATTAACCAGCTGAACAAACTTAATCTTAAAAAAAATTGTGGAATTGTAGGATGATTTCTAGTATAAAGTAGTAAAGCCTATCATATAGGGCAACTTCAGAGAACCAGGATATTAAATAAATTAAAAAGTAATCATCTGTCAGATAACTCATGTATTTTCTGAGGTGGTGGGACTAATGGAAAAGTTTTAAAAAACAAATGTTATCTTTATAATGATTTCCAAAGAAAAAAAATATTACAATAAACTGGCATCAGCATGTTTAAATGTAAGTACAAATCATCTAATAATTATTTGTAATTCACACATTTTTGTGCATGTAAGATTTTAAGACTTTTTGACAGCTCTTAATGAAATGCTATTTTTCTCAGAACAATGTATGCATCTGAACTCTCACCAAGTATAAGATATATAACCAAGTATCCCTTAAAACAAAAACAAAAACAAAAACAAACACTGGTATTTTTTTAATTCTACTTGCAATGTTCTTTATGCAAACACAGATGGATGGCCTCTAATTATCTCAGATTTAACAAAATACAGCTTTCAGAAAATCTAACTAAAAAAAAAAAAGAGAGTAACCAAAAAAACCCAACCAACCAACCAACCAATCAACCAACCAAAAAAACCCTATTTTAAAAACTTATTTGTCAGTGGTTCCAGAAATTTTTTAACCTGCCATCCTCTCCTCAACCAAATAAAGATAGCACAGCCTCATTATTAACACAATTCCATGAAAGAGGGACTATTGTTAATAATTATTCTGTACTTTAAGCAATGGACATATATAAAACAATGCACACAAGACATTTATTCATGTTTTTGAATTCTTGCCCTGCTCCCAAATAATTACACTGAGAGTTACAATTTGCATAAGGAATCAAATGGACTATTTTGTAATCACTAATAGCTACTTATTTATCATAATTTAAAATCCTTCCCCACAGCATTCCTTATTTCTTCATTGTGTTTTGATATTATTTGCAGAATGTGTGATAAATGAGTATATAATGAATGTGATGAATTAGTAGAGACTGTGAGTTCTCTACAACCAAACGAAGATAATTTTTTTTCCCTCAAATTCATGAGTTCTGCCAAACAGGAAAACAAATAGTCCAGTAAGGCTTCGTTAGCTATAAGGTGTATTTTAGCCTAATATATTAAATTACAGGAATTTAATTTTTCTTTTAAAGTATATAAGAATTGTTTACACAATCAAAATCTATGAATTTTAAAGTTTAAAGATTGCTAATTATGTGTGGATTCTTACACCAGATATTACACCTAATTCCTAAATCAATAGGTTTCAAAATTCAAGATTTGCATAGGAATATACTTGAGTTTCAGGCATGGGAGAATTTACGTGATATATAAAAATTTGTTCCTCTACTCTCAAAGAAAAGTACAAAGTATCAGAGAAAGACATGCCAAAAACAATTAGAAAAACACAATTTGCAAAGTCATTTAGTATTGGACAAAGAGTCACTGTACCTCCTTGAATAGTAATTGAAGTTGAATATTGCAATCTTGGATCAATCACCTTTTGTCCAAAATCTTACACTTACCAATGTGGAAAAAATGTAGAATAAAATTACAATTTCCCTCAAAGAGAGCTGCTAATTCTACTCTGTTCTGAGTAGATATTTTAGTTTCCAGTCATAAGATGCATTCATTTTAGAAATATTTTAAAAAATCATTTTCTAAATTTTTATATATCAATTTTAATACTGAGGTAAAAAATTTTCTCTAGAGAAAAAAAGGTACAAATAATTTACAATAAAAAAGAGCAACAGCTTGATTGTTTACTCTGGGTGAATTATGGCCTTTCATTCTGATAAAAGCCTACTAGGATTTACTAGACATTTTGGAAAGGCAGTATTATACCTAGGATATTTAATGTCCTCCAGAAAGCTCTCAGGGGCGATAACTAAACTCAACATAATATACTGTATTAAATATTAAAGATGCTGGATAGAAACATAAAGTCTAATTCTAATGATTACTTAAAATCATCTCATATAATGCTATATTTCTGAAGTACTTAGTGGTAATCAACTTATTTTTTAATCAGTTATCAATAAATAAAATTTCATCAGTAAATAAAATTTACTGAAAATTTTATTTCATCTCTTTTAGGACTTAATTGAGGTTGATCAAAAAATGTGTGAAGTTTACCACCAGTGTTATGTTATTTCCCTTGTCAAAGAAAATAAAGCTATATAAAGCACATTCTGGATTTTTAATTATTTCCTGATTGTTTTCTTCTCAACTTTTTCATTCATGCAAGAAGAGTTTATTAAACACCTATCACATGCCAAACATTACTGCAGATGGTAGAAATACAGTAGGGATTAAAGCAGATGAAAGGACTTAGGTTCCAGTAGAAGTAAAAACAGAAAAAATATAAATAAAATGTGTAGATGTTATGTGGCAATAAATGCTGTAGAGAAAAATAAGGCAGAGGAGACAGAAAGGAGTAAAAGGGTGAGAAGAGTAGTTTCAATTTTCAATTTTAATTATAGTCATGAAGGTGAAACTTGAGCAAAGACCTAAAGGAAGTGAGGGAAAGAGCTATAAGGATATCTGAAGAGCTTTCCAGCTGGAGAAACAGCAAGTCAAGGACTCTGAGGTAGCAATGTTCTTGTTATGTTCAAAGAACAGTAAGGAAGCCAGCAACAAGGCCATGTGAGCAAAAAATATAGTAAGAGATGAGATCATCTAGGACCAGAGCATGTACAGACCCTTATAAGTCATTGCAAAAACTGGTTTTCATTATGGGTCAAATGAGAAGTTCATGAAAGGTTTGCAGGAAAGAAGTGAAATGATCTGATATGCCCTTTATAAGGATCATTCTGGCTGCTCTTTTGAGGATAAATTAAAAGTAGGAAGATTAAATGGCTCTTTTATAAGGGCTGCTGATGGCCTGTGTCAGAATACTCACAGGAGAAGTGAAAAATAGTAAGGTTCTACATAAAATATAATGGAAGAGCTACCATGGATTCGTTGATTGGATGAATGGGGTATGAGAGAACAACTGAAATCAAGAATAAGAATCAAGGATTAAACCCTGAGCAAATATAAGGATGGATTTACCAGTGATAGAAAGGAGGGAAACTGTTGGAGGAAGAGGTGTGGTGCAAGGGGCAGAAGAAAAATCAGAACCTCAGTTTTGAATGTCAAGCCATAAATGCTTATTATACCTTTACACAGAATTAGTTAATAGGCAGCTGGACACAGAAGTTGAAAGTACTGGGAAATGGATCCAGAATGCCAAAAGATGTAATAAACTCAGGATATCATCAACAGAATCAGTAAATATAAGAATGCCCAAATTGAGTCTTGGTATTTAAATGATTACATAATAATACATTGAGCCTGAGATTTATATGTAATATGCCATACCAAATTTTGTGCAACAGAAACAAAAAGGAAGCAATCCTTAGGTAACTACATTCTAAATATGCATTCCCTGTGGCTTTAAGATCCAAGAAGGAAAGAAAAAGGAAAGGGAGATATCCTTAATGCAAGAAAGGGAGACTAATAAACTAATATTTAGTCTCATTCTGATTTCCACCAAAGCACTGCTACTGGCAGAAAGGGCTAGCTAGGAATGTACACAGCTCTAAGCTTCTTGTGAGAGTCATGAAAAAATATATTTGCATCATCCCCATCATATGCCAGGCACTAAGTAAGTGCTGAGTATTCAATGATAAAAGAAGCAAACACAAACTGCTTAACTATGAAGATGGATAGATAGTAAGTACACAAGTAAGCATACAACTACAAACTGTGAGAAATGCCATGAGAAAATAATATGGGGGACTGTTCTTAGATTGAGTGATCATACAAAGACAAATAATATAACAACAAAACAAGCTTAGAATTTCTCTAAAAATCTAACTACTCAGTTTTAGGTAATTACATAATTGCCATACAAACCTGCTTTTCTTAGGGCTCTCTTCCTTTTTCCTTTAATTTGCCATTTTTTAGACATGAAGATTGCTATATTCTTGTAGTAAGTAGATGCTCAAAATATTTTATGTAATTTTTATAAATGAGCATTACATTGATAATCTTTGATAATTTTTACATTGATAATTTTGATAATATTTATAGCCACACCCATGAAAAAATATACTTTAAGCTCTAAATGTATTTTGTGAGTACCTGAATTTATATACTCTAATTAACAAAAATATTCATAGTAAAACAAATGGAATGTGAAAAATCTAAGTACTTAATGGCTTAAGGACTGACAATAACAAACATCATAAATTTTATTTCATTAGTACGTTTTCAGTAGCATTCCTACCTCACTCTCAGTAACTCAATATGATATAGTTCCATACTGAGTGATAAACTTATTTAATAGGCCAGATCATCAAAGTCAATAACCCATTTTATTTGTGAAACACCTGTGTCCAGAGCAGCCACCAAAACCAAAACCAAAAACAAAAACAAAACCACACAAACAAAGCCAGTATCATTTGTTCTTAGGTGTAAAAATGAGAGAACCTAGAGTAGTACACACCACTACCTATAAAAGGAATACTTAATACTACTATGTAACTGAAAAATTAACTATAAACAAAGATCTTAAAATGTATATAAACTTGCTGCATAGACATTTTGACATTTCTTTAAAGTAACATCCCCTTACATATGTAGTTCAGGTAGGGTTACTTTATTATATATATGTTTTTTTGATTATTTGGAAAACCTCACAGTGAGGAATCTGTATATGAGCAAATACAAATTACCAACTAGAACATAGTGTTATTACGACTATTGTTACAGGAAGAATTTAAGTAATTCATTTTGCAAGTAGATAGTACCTTACCTGAAATGTAGATGACCTTTTGATCACTTCTTTGACCAAGGGAATTGGTCACTTTACAGACATAAACACCAGAATAATTGAAAGTCAATGGATGGACAAAATGAAGAGTATTGTCTGAAGCCAATAAACCATCAGGCCATTGTCCATCCAACCTAGATTTTAAAAAGCATGAAATTATTTTAAATATCTTCAAACCTTATTCACAGACAGCTATTTAAATAAGATATTATACTGTTGAGATGTCAGTGAAAGAACTGGCATTCTTTAGATAAAATTCACTATGAAATGGATAAAGATACAAATTTTTATTTCAATAAAAATAAAGTTACTGTTAAAATCCATTAAAAATACCCACTCTTTCAAAATAGCAACTGACATAAGCGCAAGCAGGCCAACATATTAGAATGAGAGGGAAGGAAAGAAAAAAAATTAGATGATTTTAAAGAATTATATTCAGAAAACTGGAAAGGAAAGCTGGAAAATTAGAAAAAATATATTATTTGAAGACCTACAGTATCAAAAGAATTAAAAATAATTCTCAGTGAATAGATCTATTCATGATATATCTATAAATTTCTTAAGAAATTTAAGATAAAAGCCATTTAAGTACATGATAATGTTTAAGCACCTTCTGTTACATATTTAAAGAACATCACTTCATACTGAGCAAATCTATACCGTACCTCATTCAAAGATGGTTAGTTTTTAAAGCATCAGAAAGGGTCTGCTTAATGACGTATCAGATAAGGGGCTATAGTATCCAAAGTCTATAAAGAACTTATCAAACTCAACACCCAAAGAATAAATAATCCAATCAAGAAATGGGCAGAAGACATGAACAGACATTTCTGCAAAGACATCCAAATGGCCAACATACATGAAAAAGTGCTCTACATCACTCGGCATCAGGGAAATACAAATCAAAACCACAATGAGATACCTCACACCAGTCAGAATGGCTAAAATTAACATGTCACAGAAAACGATAGATGTTGGCCAGGATACAGAGAAAGGGGAAGCCTCCTACACTGCTGGTGGGAATGGGTATAGTCACTCTGGAACAGTATGGAGGCTCCTCAGAAAGTTGAAAATAGAGCCACCCTATAACCCAGCAATCGCATTACTGGGTATTTACCCTAAAGATACAAATGTAGTGATCCGAAGGACCACATGAAACCCAATGTTTATAGCAGCAATGTAGATCATCAACAGATATGGATAAAGAAGAGGTGGTATATATATATATACAATGGAACACTATGCAGTCATCAAGAAATGAAATCTTGCCATGTCTAACGACGTGGACGGAACTACAGGGTATTATGCTGAGCAAAATAAGTCAATCAGACAATTTTCATATGATCTCTCTGATATGAGGACTTTGAGAGGGAGTGGGGGGTTGTGCGGAGTAGGGAAGGAAATAATGAAATAAGATTGGGAGCGGGAAGGAGACAAACCATAAGAGACCCAATCTCACGAAACAAACTGAGGGTTCCTGGGGGCTGAAGGGGTAGGGATAGGGTGGTTGGATTATGGACACTGGGGAGGGTATGTGCTATGGTGAGTGCTGTGAAATGTGTAAGCCTGATGATTCACAGACCTGTACCCCTGGGGCAAATACATTATATATTAATAAAAAAAAATAAAGTGGAGGTTACTAGAAAAATAAAGGGTCTGCTTATAAAATAATCTCATTTGTAAAGTGGGCATCTGTGACAGTAAAAACCAAGGTACAATCTGGCATCAATAAAAACTTTTAAAATGGTGTCTATACTAATTTGGCTAAGAGATCTTACCTAGTGTATGCATTACTATATACCACAATAGGAATAAAATCTCACTATGACAATTCTAAAGCTATTTACTGCAATGGAACTAAGTATACTGTTATACATCATACTGCCAACCTAAGGGTACCAAAAAACACATAAAGAAGTATTTATTTTGAGGTTATTTTTAAAGTCCATGAGTTATTTTTTAAGAGAACAAGAAATCAAATAAACTAAGCACTCAACTATTATAGTTTGATCTAAGCAGATTTTCAAAAGGTTCATTTATTCATTCACTCAACCATCCATTACTTAATTGCCAGGAGCTTTATATTAACCATACTCCACTCTGCTGGTGTTGCTGAGCTACAGAAGTAAATAAGATATTGTCTTTGCTTTCAATGATCTAAGTACACAGAAAACTGACAACTAATTATGAAGAGAATAAGAACAAAAAATAATAAACAGGTAGAAAGAAACAAAACACTGGACAATAGGAGGAATCCTTTTGTTCTGCAAATCCAACAGTAGTAGGTGGAAGAACAGTCAATAAAATCTTTTACAGTGCAGGAGCTTCAATTTAGCATTGAAGAAAAAAGGTAATATTCTCACATGGTTTTAAAAAACAAAAACACCCAAACTCCGTCTACAAAAACTTTGAACATTTGTATAAGCACTGACTTTCAAAAGGTGAACTTCTTCTAGGAAGATGAGAATGAATATGGAGTATATAAATACCAATTATCTCTCTGCACTTTGAGGCCCAAATTCTAATCCCTTTAATTCTGAGAAATATAAAAATGGCTTATAATTCTTTAAAATTGCTTGTTCAAATAAGCCACAGTCAAAAAATTCTAAATATCCCATTAAACTCACACCAAACGACATGTTAAGCACCTTCTATACTCTTTACCTATGTTACCTGGTTTATGTTGTCTCTACCCTTACAACTCTATGATGTACCATTATCAGTGTGGAAACAAAGGTCTTACTCAAAAAGACACCTCCAAGTACAGGTACTAGGAAGGGAACTTGGAATTGTACGACTTTTAGACATAACCTATCCCACATTTTAACCAATGACTGCTTCCCACTTTTAAGAAAACGTAAATTAAAACAAAACAAAACAAAACCTGTATTTTTGTTTAAAGACAACAGATTGACCAAATACAGTTTCCTCGCTCCCACAAAATCTCACCTGAAACAAAAGTAAAGGAAATGAAAGGTATTAAAAAACCACAGGAAGAAAGAGAAAAGGAGGCAGAATTCATCAGACAAGATGTTTCAACAAACTTCTAGAAGACAGAAAACAGAAGGAGGAAACAATATATGCTGTGAGCCACTGTTTCTCAATCAAGAGTGATTTTGTCTCCAGGCGACAACTGGCAAGTCTGGAGACATTTTTGGTTTCCACAAAGGGGTATAAGGCCAGGGATGCTACTAAACATCCTGCAATGCAAAGGATGACCTCCCACAACAATGATTTATCCCACTCAACTTGTCAACAGTGCCAAGGATGAAAAGCTCCACTTTGGGCTGAAGAAGTGCTTCTAAGAGGCATATGAATGGGAATGGAGCCAATGTGGTCCAAGGAATCCAAGATTTGGAGTTTGACTCATTGTACTAATACAGAAAGCCAGAGGGAAGCAGAGGGCTAGAATTATGGACATTAGTTGAAAGTTGAAAAAATAGATGCCTCTCAACTCTGTACAGACACTAGGCATTTATGTTTTAAAAAGAAGATAAAGGTTATTCCAATAAAATAAACTGAATGGCCACCAAGAAAGACTTCCACTCTTCCTGAGTGACATTGAAGCTTCCCCAAGGAAATAACTCTTTACCTGGTCACTCTAACTGTATCTAATAATGAGTAATCCCCACTATAAAGACAGAGTTTCTACTCAGAATTTTAATACATTTTAATATTTCAATGCATCACTGTGAAATGACTGGATAACTGAGAAATTAAGGAATATCTATGAAATGAAAAAACAAAGGGAAAAAAAGACAAAATAAGTAAGAAGCAATAAAAACTCTCTGAAGAGGAAATAACTTTAATATTGTGTTTCTAGGGGCGCCTGGGTGGCTCAGTGGGTTAAAAGCCTCTGCCTTCGGCTCAGGTCATGATCCCAGAGTCCTGGAATAGAGCCCCACATCAGGCTCTCTGCTCAGCGGGGAGCCTGCTTCCTCCTCTCTCTCTGCCTGCCTCTCTGCCTACTTGTGATCTCTGTCTGTCAAATAAATAAGTAAAATCTTTTTAAAAAAATTATGTTTCTAGGAAGAAACAAGACATTACATCCACAAAATAAGAAAAAATGCAATGAAATGAAAGAGAAATAAGAAAATGCTCTTAGAAATTAAAAGTATAGAGGCACCTGGGTGGCTCAATTAGTTAAGTTGCCAACTCTTGATTTTTGGCTCAGGCCATCCCTGCCAGGACTTCTCTCTCTCTCTCCTTCTGCCCCCTCCTCTCTTTTCCCCCATCCCTCAAATAAATAAATCTTAGGAAAAAAAGAAATTAAAAATATGCCCCCAAAATGTTTTAAATCAATTAAGTCAACAGGGAAAAAATAATCAAGGAAATTTCCTAGGAAAAACAAAACAAAACAAAAAACTGAAAAATAAGGATGTTTCGTATATAATAGGAAGTCTAGTAAAAGCAAATTTAAAAAAGGAGGGGAAATGATTAAAAAAAAATGACAAAATTATACACAGGTGACAGATACAAGTCTTAAGACTAAAGGGGAGCTCCAAATACTGGGAAATACAAATGAAAACCTTAGTATAACACTTTGAAAGTTCACAGATGAAGAGAATTAAGGATATTTTTTGAGGCTAAGAATTATTAATTTCAGGGAAAACAAAGATCTTAGACAAAAGAAAACAGAACTCTAGTATACTACGGTCAGTAAATAATACTTACATGTCATAGGGAAGTAAACAATGATTACGAAGTTTAACTAAAAGTGGCTTAATTTCATTGGGATTCATGAAGGTAGGAATATGTATATGGATACCTTTGTGTGTGAAGGGGTAGATATAAAGTTAAATTTTCATCCATCACAATAGAAGTCAATAGATAGTATTAAGAAGCAGCAATTTAAGACCAACAATGGTAACCACCAGAAGGAATTGCTAAATGGCTAAAAGGAACTGCAGGGGTAGTAGGTAGGGGAGAGGTGGGACAGAGAACACTCAGAAACCGTTAATTTAATTTCCAGCCATTACTATCATCATGTATTACACTGATTTAAAAAAAAACAACTTTAAATATGCACTTAATACTTTCCACTTTTAAATAATTTCCCTTTAGAAGTATCTGACATTACCTGCTCCACACAGATTTGAAGGGTGGTGGATTTGCATCAGCATTACACTTGAGATTAACACCTTTTCTTCCTACAAACCAATTCCCATCATAGCCTGTCACTGAAACTTCTGGAGCATCTATAAAATAAATGCATAACAGTACAAATTATCTTTTGTTAGTGGTAAATGCAATAAATAATGACAAAGCATTAACATAATGACTAAACTTCAAAGGAACAGAAATCACTTTCCTTCTGTCAATATACAAAACCAGCGTGGAAAACAGCAGTTAATAATTATTAGTTGATTGAAAGAATGAGTGCATGAATGGAAAATGAGTACCCAAACACTAGGCAACGATAGCATGTATGGTTCTAGTTATTTTGGACACTGAATATAAGGATATTTACAAACATATAATCACCAAGAACAAAATATGAGAGTCCTATTATGAGAAGTGTAGATTTATGAACAAAGGAAATACATTATAATACTTAATTTGATTAGACGTGGCATTTAAGTACCAAGTCACCATATAACACTGTCTTTAAAGAAATGTCTAATCTGAAAGAGAATATCCCCCAAGAGATACAAAGTCAATTACAGAGATTAGGTTCCCTGTATTATAATTAATTAATATTCTATGGGTAAGCAGAAATGTGAAACAAACTTTCTAAGGCTATAATATCAACTAAAGTAAGTTATCTGTGGCCTCAACTGTTCTAAAACATTCAATTTTGTCCATTCAATGCACCCAAACGTCTTTTGGTATATGTGTAATATTGTGTAATATAGTTTGTTAAATAAGCAATTATCCATATCTACCAGCAATATAAATTTATGCATTTAAACCATACAATCCAATATGAATCATTCATTCAACCATCATATTGTTTTTTAACTCCTAATAAGTGGCAGGCACTGTTGTAGGCTTATAGCATACATATAGATTCTGTATTCATAAATTTATTTATTTTTTTAATTAATTTTTTTTTAACTTGACAGACAGAGATCACAAGTAGGCAGAGGGGCAGGCAGAGAGAGAGAGAGAGAGAGAAGGAGGAAGCAGGCTCCCCGCCGAGTAGAGAGCTCGATCCCAGGACCCTGGGATCATGACCCGAGCCGAAGGCAGAGGCTTTAACCCACTGAGCTACACAGGTGCCCCTTTTCTTTTAAATTTTTTCTTTCATAAAATTTATTTTTAATAGTTTTTAATAAGAGGATATTTTTGAAATATTAAACTAAAATCTGCTGAGAACCAAGAAGGAAAAGAATAGGATGATATAGAGAAGAAGGGGCTAACTGCGGATGAAGTGGGGGTCATGAAAGCTTCCCCAAGGAAGTGCATGGTACAGGGACCCTCCTGTGAGTTACACAGTAAACTAGATAAAGAGTACATGACCAGATGGGAAATTAGAGAGAGACCAGGTCAGTTTAATTCTGTCAGGGAAGCTTGGTCTATTATCAATCAAGGTTTACAAAAAAGGGTGGTAAAAAATTAAACTTTTACTAAGGTACAATTAATTACTTTAGTAATTTAAAGAAAGAAATGCCTGTCTCTTAAATACCAAGAATTAACACTTTTGTAACTAACAATTGGTACTAAAAATTGTTGCTGAAAGAATAGAGAGTTCTGTGAGTTTAATTTCTTTTAATTGGGAGGAGGGAATAGGTACTAAGGTAAGGTATCCCCAAATAATACCTCCAAATATAGAGATCTGAACTTTGGATATAAAATTTTATCTCCTCAAACTTTGTTCACATGTTTTGTAAGTCCCAATTAAAAAGAGGAAAAAAAATCATGAGTACTCTAAGAACATTTTAGGAGCAAGCCAATAAATCTAAGCCATAATTATATAAATCTTACATTAAGAGAAATATTTTTATATTTAGGATTGCGTTCAAACAAACAATCAAAAAAGCATAATGTACCCAATACAAATTGAAGAAAATTTCAGTCATTACTAGATATAAGGAAGGACAAAATATATATAAGGAAAATATTAATAGTACTTACAATTGGGATCTGAATTTTACAAGAAAAAGGAAAAAGTTTAGAATCTATGAAAGTAAGGTAGGAAAAGGAAACAGAAATTTTAATTGGATTCTTCAGAGTAGTGAAAAGAAGGTATCTGTACTTAGGAATAAAATGGTAGTAACATTCATGTAAGGTAACGTCCCAAGTTTAACCCAATAAATGTTGAAAAAGATTCTTACAATTACCTTTAAAAACCATTGCATCAAGTGTAATGAATATGTGCAATTTGAAATTCCATATAGGTCATATCAAAAAATAAAACACTAAGAACACTATAATACTTCTTTTTAAAAACCTATTAATTTTCATTATCCTTGTTTTAATTTACGTGCATTATCACTTTTTCTTCTGCTCAAAATTTTTAAATGTTACACAAAGAATGTTTCAACAACTGAGCTAATGTACAGGAAAAAAATATACGCACATACGTATATAAACATACAAACTTTACACAAAAGGGAACATCCCTTAACCAAAACAAAAATAAGTGATGGGCTAACCTTTGAACCTTATCTACAATGATTATCCCAATGATGTCTTTAAAATACTGTCTTACTATATGAGAATCTTACAACATGATCAGTAAAATGAGATGAGAAAAAGTATCAGAAAAACAAAGATTTTCAAACTAATTAATATGCATTTAGACAATAAAAGATTCTTGCTGAAAACATCATGGGTAGCATAAAAAAAATGAGTAATAGCGAAATTAATTGAACTGGCAAAGTAATTGTTTGCCTCTAAGTATTGCACATTTTGAGGTATAAATTTCCACAATTTGCTTAAGCCCAGCTTATTTTTAAGGTCTGAAAAGGAGAAGGCTAAATAATTTTAAGTTGGAAAGCAACTTTAAAGTCACTCTCCATCTTCACAAACTAATAAGAAATGTTCTGATTAAATGAAATTTCCACGAAGGTATTTTTAAAAATTAAGGAAAAAAATTTCAACAAGGAAAAGATGTAAGAATATCTGAATATTAAGTATTCAAACTAACAAGTCTGCCATAGAATTATGTCACAGAAGAAAATTAAAATAAAATATTTAAGAGCAAATGTTATTGTTTACTTACACTGTATATCTAATATGAAAGAATATCGGATGTCCTTTTCCAAGGCTGGATGTTTTACAACACAGGTAATCCGCCTTCCTCTAGCAAATCTGGTTGGAAACAGCTTGTACTGGCTGACAATTGTTGCCGTTTCATTTGGAAAAGAAGTTGTAGTGGATTCCATTTCACCAAGATCACCTTCCCAGTCAATATGTGCAACTGGTTTTCCAGTGGCTGCGATACAGATGGCCGCTACAGTTTCATTTCCTCCATCAATTAAAGAATCTGGCCCTTTTATCAGGCTCACAGTGGGTTCAACTATTTACATTAAAAAAAAAATTAGTCACATTTCAATGAAGAATATATTTATATCTTTCCAAGATATATCTAGCCACAGTTCATAAACTTAGGGGAAAGTGCATATAAAATCTATGCTTTAAACATGCTTTTAAGAAATGCCAACATCAGCTAGATCTTTGGAAGAGGAGAAGATCACGAGCTAAGACAAACAAGAACCTCAGAAAGACTTGAAAACCTTAAAGAAGGTTCTCCTTAGGAGAGATACCATTTTTCTTTATAAGGACCGATGAGCTCTCCCTGAAGTTAGTATATGAAAAATTCCTGTAAATTGGGTAATTTTCATTATAAGATTTTAAGTATTACTTTGAAAGGGGAAAAGATGTAGTTTTTAAACACAGTGCTTCATTTTGCAGCAAAACACTTACAAAAAATATAAATTAAGTTACCAGTATGGAACCTACACAGTTAAAATGTAATGTCAATAATAGCTACATTTATTAAAATGTGTATTAGAATGTGTATCCCATTATCTTCTTCCAGTATAAGAAAGCTCCTCAGCAAGTGAAAGTAACCTTAATGTTTAGACCCTTTCATCTACTTTCCATATGCCCTATCTATCTCTTCACATTTTTCCAGCAAATTTTATGTGTTTCTTTCTGCATAAATTCCTCAGTCTCACCTCATGAACTGTCTCAAGCCTATGGGTTATTCTGTATATTGAGTTTTTATCTCAATAACTTATTCACTTCCAAAGCTTCCAACTGATTTTTAATGCCATCTGTTCTTGATTTATATCTAAATATTTTTCATAATTTACTTGAGATACTAATATTTTCCTAATGTATTATATGAGATGTATTATTGTAAAATAACAAAGGGAAAAGTACATACAACACATGTAATCAATACTTTGTAGTAAACATCTGTGAAAACACCACACATCTTAATAAAAAACATCAGTACCTCCCAGGTAGCTCAGCATGTCTCTCCTTGATCTTAACACCTACCAGCCCAAGTATGAAATCATTATAGTGACTTTGGAAATAAATTTTTGCTTACTTTTCATGACAGGTCTACGAGCAACAAATGTAAAGTTTGTAAAACAACAATTATATTTTACCTGTTTCTGAACTTTACATGAATGGTACTAAACTATATATATTTTTATATAGTTTTTCTTTGATTCAACTTTGTGCCCTGAGATTAATTTATTTGAGAATAATCAGACTTTATTATTTTAGAATTCAAGGTTTTTTCACTTTTAATTTTTAAATCATTTAAATTTCTATGCAGTTCTATAGATTATTAACTGCTGTACAGTTTATTTACCATTGGATTTTGGTGCTATTTCCTGTTTAGTATAAATAACTTTATAAGAAACATTCTCATTGGTATATCTCAGTATATTTGTACAGGTATTTCTCTACTCTGTCTCTTGTAGTGGAATTGCTACTACTATTTTTATTTTCAACTTTACCAGATAATGCCAAAAAGCTTTCCAAAGTAAGAATTTACTACCAATCTTAGAGTACCTATTGATCCAGACACTCACCACAGTTGGTATTGTCTGACTTCTCAATGTCTGTCCATCTTATATGCATATAATGGTGTACTGTTGAGACTGTATTTTTTTAATTTCTCATATTATAAATGATGTTAAAGGTCCTTCCATGTTTATAGGCTATTTGGAATTTCTTCTGCAAAATGCCTATTAAAGCCAATTGTTTTTTCTTACTGATTTGGAAGGAGAGCCTTTTTTAATTACATATGGTAAAAATATCCTCTAGCAGTTTAGGGCTTATCTTTTTGCCCTATAGTGTGTTTTGACGGAGAAGTTTTTAATTCAATTGTACTAAAATTTACCAGTTTTTAATTTCCCTTTTATGGTTAACTGCTTTTATACACTAAAAATTACTTCTCTACTTCAAGGCCAATTACTATGCCATTTTTTTATAGTTTCTTGTTCTCTGCAGAAATTTTATAGATTGACTTAACTCTTCAAATGTTAAACGATGCTGTTTAATATTTAATAGGCTGTGTCTGATAATTCCAACATCCTATATCTTTGCATGTCTGTTTCTGTTGTCTTATTTGTGCTGCCTGCTACTTGTGGGTTCTTCTTTACTTGTATTCAAGAAGACTATAAGCCTGCGTTTGAATAATTAAGGTAGTAATACTGTGAGGTATAGAATAAAGATAATTTTCCTCTAGAAAAGATCTGAGTTTTCTTCTGCTAAACTCCTGAAATCACTAACCAGTCTAGGACCTCCAGATTTTAAGATCAAACCACTCAGGTCATTATAAACCTGTAAGTCTGTAAGAAGGCTGGTATACTTCTAATTTCCTACTATTCTAAAAATGTAAGCCTCTGGATAGCATAATAAGAGAAGGGTTATTAGACATCCCCCATCTTAGCAGAACTACACTTAGAAATCTGTCTCTTGCTTCTTAAGACTTTCAAAATCCCACCTAAGCATCTCAGGTGTTTCTTCTAAATTATCAGAAGTCCTCAGGTTGAATGCAACTTTCAGTGCTAAGCTTATTTCTATTTTTACCTTCTCCTAGACTTGATTTACTAATATTTCTCACTTGTTTCTACTTCCTTGAAGCTTTCAGTGGTATTTTATTTCACACCCATGGGAGAGTTGTTTTGAACAACTTATACCATCACTAACTTTTTTTATCTTTGAGGAAGAGTTGTTTTGAACAACTTATACCATCACTAACTTTTTTTATCTTTGAGGAACTTAAAAATTTTAAGTCAATTTTAAGTTATATTTCTGCGGGCGCCTGGGTGGCTCAGTCAGGTAAGTGGCTGCCTTTGGCTCAGGTCATGATCCTAGGGTCCTGGTATCCAGCCCAGCATGTTGGGCTCCCTGCTCAGCAGAGAGCCTGCTTCTCCTTCCCCTCTGCCTGGTGCTCTGTCTACATGTGTTCTCTAAATAAATCTTAAAAAAAAAAAAGTCACATTTCTGTTTCTTCTGAAGGGAATCAATCTCCTGGTTGTAGACTTTACTAGATTTCTAAAGTTACTTTTCTCATATACCTCAATATTTTGGTTAACTTCTCTGTAACCTTCACTGTCTAGTTGTTTTGCTGTTGCTTCCTCTTAAGATGCTATCAAAACGGGCGCCTGGGTGGCTCAGTGAGTTAAGCCTCTGCCTTCAGCTCGGGTCATGATCTCATGGTCCTGGGATAGAGTACTGCATCGGGCTCTCTGCTGGGCGGGTAGCTTGCTTCCCCCTCTCTCTGCCTAATTGTGATCTCTCTCTCTCTCTCTCGTCAAATAAATAAAATCTTAAAAAAAACAAAAAAACAAAATAAAAGATGCTATCAAAGCCCTCTGTACTCTGAATGGAGGTAACAAGGTAACATGGTTTTCCCAGTTCTGTGTGAACATCAGGATTGTTAGTTAGATCTAATGCTTTCCGGTGGTTCTTTCCCCAACCTCAAAAGATTCCTCTCCCATGGACACAGATCAATACTAACCCAAAGACTTTAAAGGGGCCCTCTGTAGATCTCTAAAACACACACACTCTCTCTGATGCTCTATGCTTTCCAGTATTCTGCTCCACAAATTCTAATCACCTGTCCTCCCTGAATTCCAGAATGTCTCTTTTACTCTCTGATACCATCGTTCTCTGCTTCAAATCCTTGTCACTGAGTTGTACCCTGAAAACTGCCTAAGGTGGAAGCCAGAACATTATATGGACTCACCTTGTTTATTTTCCTTCTTTCAGGGATCATAATCCTACACGGCCTATTGTCCAGTGACAAAAACTGTTTCTTAAAACTGTTTCTTATTTGCCTGGTTTCTTGTTCTTAGAGAGAGGGCAAATCCAGTCCCTGCTATTCCATCATCTACAGCAATGGAAGTCTATTTTTTTTTTTAATTATGTTCAGTTACCCAACATATAGTGGAAGTCTGTATTTTTATTGCAAAAGCAGTATTTCTAAAAATTGGGAAAACAGGGAAAAATTATGCACAACTACAATACCCTAATGCAATTATTATCATCTTTTTCCACTTCTCTTTTTCTAGTTTCTATATGGATGTAATAATCATGGCATACGTACAATTTTTTGGTTCTTTCCTCCCACAGCAACACTTCCCTTAACCATAATTTTAATAGCTATAAAATATCCCATCAAGAGAAATAAGCAATTGCAAAACAACTGTTCTACTGTGGGGCATTTGTTGTTAAATTTTCCCAAAGCTTTTTTTTTATCACATTCCCTTAATTTGCTTTCTATTACTACCACTCCACTGAAACTCTAATGATACCATGTAATCGATGGGCTTAATATTTTTATTTGCCATTCTCTTTGACCAATTAGGTAGAATTTCAAACTTTGACACAGTTATTCGCATTCTGTTCAAAAAGAATTAAGTACTAATGATGCCTTAAGGTACCTGTTCTACGTAATGAATTGCCTTCTAGGCTATACTTTAAGAATACTAGCTGTGCACCATTCTTAGGAAAACAAACAAACAAAAAAAAGGTTGTTCAAATTATGTTGTATAAACCTTAATTCTCACTGTGGAAAAAAGAAAAAGTTGCTAAAATAATCTTAAAAATTTTATCTTCTCCTGATATAAGTAGTATTACTTTGCCAGTTTTCCTCAAAGCTTAGAGTTCTTCATTTTTATTTCTTCTAACCTCTGCCCCAATAAATACTGGGTTCTGGGCTGTCACTATTTGCATCTCCCTTAGAAATGTTTATCTGATACAAAACTACTATCTACATAATCCCCAATTTCCTTCATTTTTGATACAAGGCTTGATTCCACAGTTTCTAACCACCTGTCTGGTACTGTTTGCGTATGTATCTTCAAACTCAATGAAGCCAATGCTGATCTCATTATCTTAGCCATCCAATCCCAACACCTGGATTTCATTCAGACATGCCCACTGGAATTTATAGTAATATAACTTACACAATCACCAAGGTTGGAAACCTTTTTATGCTCAAACCTCCCTTGTTTCTTATATCCAATCAGTTACAAAGGCTTGACA